TAGTACATTTATTCAAATACTGATTTTTACAATTTTTAAGTAAACTTAAAGACCATATTTACAAATTTCTGATTTTTTTACTACTTAAGGAGTATCCTGTGGCAATGCTAACTTCTATTTTTCAAATGAGAACCTCTCTTTTTTACTGAAAATTATTTAGAGGATACAAAAAAGAAGGCTCATATTAAGGATAATAATCCTCAAAAATGGTTTTATAAAAATAAGAACTATATATGATATGTAATTAGATAAAGCATTTATTTTTGATCATTTTTACAAATTATTTATATCGATACATCAATAGTGATTGCAGCTAATTTTGTCAAATCGTCTAAGCCCCCTTCCCCCTATCTACTTAACACATTACCATAGATATTCTTATCCTTAAAACACAATGTTACCTAACTCAACAACTATACTAGCTCTAATTTTGAGATTCATACAAATTTTCAAAAAAAAAAAAAATCTGCTTATTAATAAAGAATAAAAAGGGGAGGTTTCTATTTGAAAAACTGTAGATTGTATTTTCACAGGATCATTCTTAAGTGGTACATTAAATGTCAATGATTCGAAAAATGGTCTTAAATAGTGTGTGTACTTGAAAAATCCAAAAAATGCGAATTTTAATTTATTACACATAATATTTAATCATAAAARGATGAGCATGCTTATAAAATTACCCTAATACCTACTATGAAGAACTCGAATATTTATTCAGAACTCGAATCGTAATAATTGTCCATACGTTTCGTTTGAATTATAAACAGTACCTACCTAGTTTTTGATAAAGAAAAAAACGCGCATTTAGGTTTTATAAGTGGGTCCTGCACGTAACCTATTTTTTTTACTCAATAACATAATTTACAGGAAGATCTTTTACATCTCGTATAATGATCCAATGTGGATTTTTTTTTTAAAGTAATAGAAACACTTCTTAGGCGTATTGGATTCGGATTTCAAATTCTATTTCTAAACCATTTAATGCGATTTTGAATTTGGTCAATATTTACAAGCTTTCATTATTTTATTATGTTTGTTTTCAGTAGGTAGCTGACTAAATTAAAAGTCCAATGAGCTCTATGGAAAATTATYCTCTTTCTAATAAAAATTAATAATCAAATCAAATTTTTCCAAGAAGTGTGCACACTTACTCATGAGTATTATGGAAAAAAAATCACTTCATTTTTGATCTGTGTCGTTGATATATTTTATTCGCATGCAGCGCATGCGAAAAATAGCCCGGTACCCACATTCAATCACACTTACACTAATCATCATTGATGACTAACACAATTGCCATAGTAGGCAGCAGCAATGAAAATGCATATTGCCCCTAAAAAGACACACGGACCCTGCAGTTCCTTATGGAAAATRTATTTAAAATTCTGCTCCAGGGCCRAAAATATGATGGGGGTCTTGGACACGAACAAAGAGACGGTGTCACTAACGAGGCATTTAAACAATAAGATAATTCTAATGATTTAAGTATATTTTTATGTATATACATTTAAACACCATTTAATTCACCTAGAATAGTTGGATTTTATTTTTTATTTTCGCCAATCTTAATTAAAATTAAACAAAAAATTGTTTATAATTTTKTTTTGTTTATAACCGTCAAAATGAAAAATATTTCAGTTCTGTGAAGTGGTAAACTACACAATTTCCTCACTTCTAAWATTTGACACCCGGATCATTTGCAATTCCATTTGAATTGCGTCCTGGTTATTTTTGGAGTTATATACTAGTTGCGTTTGGTTTTTTGTTCTTGTATACACACGATTTTCATCCCGTAAAAGGTAAATTATGATCAAATTATTTATCATGTATTCATGTACAATTATAATATAACATCCATAATATGATAGACTGTTATTGTATTTTTTACTGTTTTTCATTTGTTATTCTTTTCCAATTTCTATTTTGAACAATTATTTTTTGTTTTATTAATATAGGTATTGTAATTTGGTACAAATCGGGTATATGGTTCAAATCGACATATTTGCTTTGAAATAATGACAAATAAYAAGTTAGTTACCTATACAACTAGTTTATTAATTTATAAAAATGAAAACTTTTATTTATGTGAATTACCTATTAATATAATTTAAACTTAGATTTAGGTTACTATACTTGTCACAGGTGTTATTAATTAGTCAAAATTATTTTGTTATATCTGTGATCAAATCAATTATTGTTTTTGTATTAAAAATTAGCCATGATGTCAAGTTATTATCTGCGTGTAGCATTGGATGAGTTGAGCGTTTTTTATTTCAAAATATTAAATTAAATTTAGTAATGTATTTTATCTTATTCATACAATAACACAATTTTACTTATAAATAATTAGCTACAAAAAACTAAAATAATAAAGTAAAATTTGTAATGTGTTGTAATGAAAGATAGCGAATAACATCAATCAAGATACCTAACTAATTGAGATATTATACCTAATCAGTTGTTACTAAATATATATATATATATAAATATATTTATAATTTAATTGATTTTTCATAATATATTATTTTATTAGCACAAATAAGAAATAAGAATAATTTGCGATGAAAATATATTCAATAAGGTAATATGGTTGGTAGTAGTGGGGAATTTTTTTCTTTAATGTTGAAGAAGTCCTTGGGACAGTTTTATTTAAGAAGACATGATGGGTTATCAAGAAGAATAAGATTTGAGAGGTTTGAAATTGGTGAATTAGAATGGTTGATTGTATTTTCATGAATTGTGTAAAATAGTGGGAGACAAGTTATTAATGAATGTTTGGGATTTTGAGGTGAGAGTAAAGGGAATTTTCTCATATACCAAGAGGCATTTGCAGCGAAAGCAAATTGGCTGGAACGATTGGAATATTTTACTATTGGATGTTTTTGTCGTACACCTCGACCTTCAAYTCATATCTGAATTTCGGAGGTCATCGAGATAGGCCTATACATTGTTTGTAGATTAAGAATTTTATATTGAGTGTGAAATTCTATTTGAGTCAATTTTGAGGGATTTTCTTTTAGTTTTTATAAAAGTCTCTTTTAAGTTCGTTGTCAAGGTTTACCCATATTTTTTTTTAGGGAATCATGTMAYTATTGAAAGTTATGGGGGGATATGCAATTGCATTTTAATTGTATTGTATTCATCGTAAATTATCTTAGTTGTAACTCGAATAGTAGTAGCATGGAAGGATCTCGCACTAGTCAGATAACGAATATTATGATTGCCGATTGCTAAMAAATGTTAATTTTTCACATACACTTATAACTATAATTCCAACAATACGCCATAACAATTACGTCGATTTTAATTTTAACAAAATATTCTAATTGTTCATAACATCTAGTAGATGT